AAGGCTAATGGTCATGTGGATTGTGTGCCAGGGCGTCCCGGGACCACCAGGCCCTGCTGGACCCAAAGGAGAGCCAGGCAACGCTGGGCCCCCAGGGCAGGTGAGTGAGATATGGTCTCCCCAGCTTATTTTTGGAGCCTGCAGTGGCATGGTACCAGCTCCCTGCAGCCCGTGGCAGTAAGACATGCAAGACCCAGCCCTGCGAGATGGGGTGGGGCCAAGCCAGCCCCCCACCCATGGCTTTGGAGCAGACGTTCCCCTCATGCCCCTGCCTCCCATGGTTAGCTCCCTCCCCACCCCTTGAGCCCAGCTTTGGGGCAGGTGGAGCCAGAGGCCTGCCCTGCTCCCAGCCTGGGATGGGGGTGTTTTAGTGATGGGCTGTGGGGCTGGGAGATCATTTCATTCTTTCCTGCTGCAGGAATCCTTAATGCAAGTCCCTTAGGGAAAGGGCACCAGGGGCCTTGGTTCACTGTAAGCTTCCAGCTTCAGGCCTGGAAGTGGTAGGAATAGCCCCAGGGCTCAGCTGTTGCAGTCACCTTGCCGATATGGGGGGTGTTACCGTCCTCGTACCTAAGCATTGGTGAAGCAGGAAGGTTTTGTGTTCTGCTTCATGCCCCATGGTGAGAGAGCACTCCCCAGCACCACTACTGTTAAACATCCATATTTCCCCTGTCTCTAGGCCACTGTCGGGCTTCCTGGGATGAAGGGTGAGAAGGTAAGAGGCCTGCTGGGGGCTCACGTGATAGAAATCAGCATGGGAAGCTTTAGGGCAGATAGGAGGACAAAGAGCTAGGGCTTCTGGGTTCTGTTGCCCCCTCTGGCCCTGCACGTGCAATAATAATATTGTGAGTGGCTAAGAGAGACCAAAAAGTCAGGGGGGCTTCGGCAGCCTGGAACAAGCCAACCCCTCACCAGCCCACGCCTGGTAGGCTGGAGACCTGGTGCTCTGCTGCCCCTGTGTTCAGGTGTTACCTGAAATCTGGCCAGGATCAGGGCCAGGGAGCTCTGGAGGCAGCCACGGGTGGGAGGAGGGTGGGAAGCCCAGGGCTCACATTGTAGGGGTGCCAGGCAACCTGCACTCTGGGGGCACGGTGGGGTTGCCGCAAGTGCTGACCCTTGTGTGTTTCTCTCTAGGGTGAGCCTGGGCAGATGGATGGGGCCCTGCTGGGCAAACCTGTAAGTGGATCTTTCCCGTACCTTTCCCCTTCTGTTCCTCCAGCCCCTGCCCCAATAACCACTCTGAACTCTCTTCCGCAGGGTCCCAAGGGTGATCGAGGCTTACCTGGCCCCCGGGGTGATACGGTGAGGAACAGCCCTGCCCCTCCAGGGGCCTCTTCTCTGCTCAGTGTCTCCCCACGAGTATCTGGCTCAGTCCATTTCCCATAGGTGAGTCTCTGTCTCTCTTCTCTTCCATCAGGGGGAGCCTGGAAGAGCAGGGGAGCCTGGAGACCCTGGGGAAGATGTAAGTACCACACAGAAGGAGGGCAGGGATTTGGCCAGAGATGGGGATAGCAGAGGCCAGGGTTGGAGGCAGGTGGTGTCCTTCCCCACTTCCTGCTCAGCCCCACGCTGCATACAGGTGCCTTCAAGCCCATGTGTTGGCACACGTGTGTACAAATGTACAGCATTGGTCTCACTGAATTTTTCATGTTTGTATGTTAACAGGGAGCCAAAGGATCACATGGAGTCAAAGGGGAGAAGGTGCGTGTCCCCCAGTCCTCCTGACTGGGAGCATGGGCACCCAGAGCCCACCATGACCAGCCAGTGTGACCGGCCAGTCTGAATAGGCCAGGCAAGGCCCTGCTTAAACCTGGCACTTGCGGCTGTGGAAGTGACACTGCCAGTGTCTCTGGCCCTGGAGGGACATCCAGGGAACCCCTACTCTGGGGCCCATTCAGTCAGGCTGCCAGCAAGGAGCAGCACCTGCAGAGCTGGCATGGCTTGTGACATGGGCATTGCCCTGCTGGTAGCTGGCCTATTCCTACCACCTCACTCCCTGGGGGCCATTGTCAGCCCCTCCTCACTCCCACATACCCAGGGCCACCTGCCTAGTGTGCTCACAACCTACCATTTCTCTTTCCCATGCCCCATTCAGGGTTCGCCTGGGATTGGCCTGCAGGGACCCCCTGGGCAGGACGGGCCTCCTGGCTTGAAGGTAACCTCTTTGGGAGCTTTGCTAGCCTGGGTTTTGCACAGACAGTGTTTACAGAGCCACAAGGCGAGACAAGGAATCCAGACACCTGGGTTCTGTTTCTGATGCTCCCCCTGGCTGGCCTCTTCCCTTCCCTGTGCTTGTCTCCCTGTTGTGCTGCTGGGTTCCTGGCACTGATCCACCTTTCCAAAGCACTTGCTTGGAAGATGACACTCCCCAGAGACCCCCAGCCAGGGACAGCCCATGACCCCTTGGTACTGCACAGGAGGCAGGCATCAGGCTTTCCCTCCCCTGTCTCAGCCTTCACTCTGCCCTCCCTGCCCAAGCCCAAGCCCAAGCCCCTTCCCCTGCTTCTGGTGCTTGGCCAGTCCACCGCTACTCCCCCCAGGCCTCCCTCTTCCCACCAAACCCCCAGTCTCCTGATGGGGACACTGGCCCTGGCCGTCTGTTCCACTCTTAGTGGTCTAGAGCCAGCTGCATGAGTCCTCCCCCAGCGCCAGGCTCAGCATCACTGCCTTCTTGTCTCCATGCCAGGGGGACACCGGTTTGCCAGGCCCACCAGGACCCCAGGGCTCACCAGGCATTGCAGGGACCCCAGGCCAGCCTGGCCTGAGGGGAGAAAATGGACAGCCAGGGCCCCCAGGAGCTCCAGGAGAGAGGGTAAGCAATGTGCCAGGCCTAGGCCTTGAGTTTCATAGATTCATAGATTCATAATTGTTAGGGACTGGAAGGGACCTTACAAGATCATGGGGTCCAGCCCCCTGCACTTGGACAGGAAAGACTGCTGGGATCAGATGACCCCAGCAAGGTGCGTGTGCAGGTATTTTTTGAAGTTTGCCAGGGTGGGTGACGGTGCCACTCCTGGGGGGGGCCTGTTCCAGACCCTTGGCACTCAACTTGCAAAGAAGTTTTTCTGTATGTTCTGTCTGAAGCACTTTTCAATCAGTTTATGCCCATTGTTTCTTTTCTTCTCCTGGGGGGCCTTGGTGAACAGATGCTCCCACAGGCCCTTCTGTGCACCCCTTATATACTTATAGGCTGCCACCAAGTCCCTGCTGAGTCGTCTTTTCTTCAGGCTTAACAGTCTCAGATCTTTCAGCCTCCCCTCGTATGACTTGCTCATACAGTGACAGTTCTCCCCCTCTCCCCCAACCCTTGCTAAAACAAGGGGCCTCAGCTCAGGCTGTGGGGACCCCCCCCTTTGGTGCCAGAGCCAGGGTCAGTCAGCAGGGTGACAGCAGGGACCCAGCAGCTGCCCTAGGCTTGGCCCTACCATGTGTGGTACAAAGGCAGCTTGCACAGTGTCTCTGGAGTCTGTGAGATGTTTCTGGGCTCCTTGACTCTGGCCAGTAGGGCCCCTGCAACCCTGGAGCCCCAAGGCTCATGGGAAGAATAGATGGTAAAGACTGGATAGGACTCCTTTGGCCCTCCCCTGTCTTGATGCCTTCTGCCAGCTCCCATCCTGGACTGTCAGGGCACCCAGCAGTACCCCCTCAAAGGACTCAGTGTGTTTCCCCTACTCATTCCTCCACCCTGCTTGCTGGCTGTGTGACTCCAACATGGCAGCACCTGCCCTAACTGAGCTGGATTGTCCTCTCCATGCTGGTGGGACCCAGGAGTCTCCCTGCCTGAAACTCTGCTCAGTGCTGCAGCAACAGCAGCCCTGGAGCTGCTCTGTTTGGGTGGCCTGCTTGTGGGCCCTGTCCTTGGGTTCTCAGTGAAGGAGAGCTGCCCTGGTGCCCAGGCTTGGCCTCTGCTGGGTGGGGCCTTCTCCAGGCTCCCTTCAGTGCTAGGGCAGCCCCAGGCCTTGACTTGTAGTGAAGCAGTGACTCCACAATGCCAGGGCCTCTACTGATGACTGGTGCTTTTTTCAAGGGTTTGATTGGCTTTCCTGGAAGAGATGGCACCACTGGACCACCAGGTCCCCCAGGACCCCCAGGGCTAGCTGTGAGTACCAGATATCTGATGCCACCCAACACAGGGGCTGGGTTTGGCTGCAGCCTGGTAGGAGGAGGGAGGAGGATGGCACCTGGCTTTCACACAGCACAGCCACTGCTTTCCTTAACTCCCCACCTCCTTATGTGTCTCGGAGGGTAGGGGATCCTGGAGGAGAGGGTTGCTGTGAGTATCTGCAGGATTAGTCTAGCTGCCCCTGGGAAATCTTAGCTCACCCCAGGGTTGGGGGTGACTGAGCCAACGGGGAGCGTTTTTGAGACTCAGACGCACCCAGAAGGCTTTGCCAGAACTGAGAGGCCTACATGAGTGTGGACCATGGACCTGACTCAAAGTGGCTGTGACCGTGGTGAGGGCAGGTGGGCTGCTGGTGTGGCTGCTGGACAGAGAAATCTCTCGTTCACTTCAGTGTCCCTGGGGACTGGAGTCCATGCTTTGCTCCAGACTCAAGGCAGGGCTAACAAGTCCCTATGAGCATCTCTGAGCTGCTTCACTGGGCGTGTGTGGACAGACAGCTCCCCTTCAGCTGAAGGCCTCTCCATCAGCTAGCCCCGCTGTGCCACTGCTGCCACCCAGGGCCAGAGGGGTGGAAAGGTGTGTGAGGGGGTCACACAGGGTGGCTGTGAGCTGCCTCCTTACTGTGCTGCCTCTGGTGGAGCAGACTCTAGGAGCCATGGAAGGCACTGATCTGCCTCTCTTTCCTTTCAGGGGACCCTGGGCACCTCAGGAGCGAAGGGGGACAAGGTAGGCTCTGGTTCCACCTGTTACTGCATCTAGCTCCTGCTGCTCTGTGTGGGCTGGGTGGGAGTCTTGGAGTGGGTTCTTGGGTATCCTCTGCTCCTTGGATGAACCCCCATCTCCCTAAGGAGCCAGGCTTGTGGGGAGCACCTGGGATTGCCCTGCTGATGCAGCAGGTGATGGCAGAGGCTTCTTATTGCCACCTTCTCTGGGATGTCTTGGACCTCCCTGCCAAGGCCTGTTGACTGCCCTCCTTCCTGTGCAGCTGTCATCTCTGCAGGAGCTGGTGTTTGAGAGCATGGGGGTGGGGGGTGACAGTGGAACCCAGCTGTGGAGGCTGAGAGGGACAAGCAAGTGCCTGTCCTGCCACATGCCCAGCCGACAGCAAGGGTCAGCAAAGACACAGAGCCCTGCAGGCAAGGAGCAGGTGGCTGCTGGATCCTCCCTGGGCAGCTTCAGGGGAGCAGTGCAGAGAGGGAGCACATCTCTCCCTGGGCACTGTGATGTCAGGAGATCTGTGGCCAGGGGCTGTGGCTGGGGCCCAGGCTCCGAGGTGCGGGGTGGCTGGGATGGAGCGCATGGGCAGCTTGTGGAACGGGGCAACCGCAGCAGGGCATTTGCTTCAGGCCACTGCAAGCAGGCTGCCACTAGCTGCAGGGTCACAGATGGGCCTTTCTCTCTCCCTCCCGGTGTGACAGGGAGATGTGGGGACAGGACTGCCAGGAGCCAGAGGCGAGCGAGGAGACCCAGGGCCTCGGGTGCGTATCTCCCCTCCCTCACACCAGCACTCAGACCCTGCTCACCCCACCTCGGCCAGCACCCAGTATTGCCATGAGGCAGCTCCCAGGGACAGCATTGTAGCTCTGGGAAGTCTGTACAGCCTGGCTCTGGGCTGTAACATGGCTCCTCTCAAGTGTGGCCTGTGGAACAGGGAGCTCCTGGGGCCCACCCTGTGCCTGGGTCTGAGACAAGCCCTGTGCTGACTACCCAGGAGGCTTCCCATGCCCAGGACCTCCTCAGGCTCGGGTTCCTGCCCTGAGCTCTGCCTCTCTCCCCTCATCCTGCACAGGGAACATGCCTCCCTGCCTTGCCCTCACTTCCCAGCTCTGTCTCATTGTCATCTTCCTTTTGCAGGGTGAAGATGGGCGCCCAGGGCTGGAGGGCGATCGTGGGCCTGCGGTAAATGCACCCCCCTCCCACCTGTTGCCTGCCCCTTCTGCTGGGGCTCTGCTCTGCTCATGCCCCAGGCAGGCATAGTAACTCCCCTTCTCTTTTCTCCTTAGGGGCTGCCTGGGAACCGAGGGGAGCGAGGTGACAAAGTAAGGACAGTGCTGGGGGGGAAGGAAGGGGCAGCTGGGGGTGGGGAGGTCCCCTCAGTCCACTCCCACTGTCTGGTGACTGTGGGAGCCCCTGTTTGCCTGGTGCATCCCAGCAGAGGCCAGGGCTGGAGTCGGGCAGGCAGGGAGCTGCCCCTGGATGTCTCCCTGCCACCCACTGGGACATGGGTTGTCTCCAGGGAAGCCTAAGCTCTCCCTCCAGCTCAGCTTTTCTCCAAGCCTCTGGTTCAAATAGTCAGCCCATCTTGAACACCATCCTCAAGTCCAGTCTGGGGTCTCCTTCCAGAGACCCTCATCCCCTCCTGCCCGGTGGAGTCTGGCTCCTCACCTCCCTGCCCTGAGGCAGTTGGGGAGGAGTGTCAGCATGGGGTTGTGGTGCCTGGGTGGGTCCTGGCTGAAATGGGACCCCCCCCACCCCACATGAGGTAGGTCTTTCACTGTACTGCCTTCCCCCACAGGGAGACATGGGACCAACAGGATTAAAGGGAGACAAGGTGAGTGCCTCATTCATGTGTTGCTGTGCCCCCACTGCTGCTACCGCCTGTCTGCCCCCAGTGCCAATTTTCAGTATTGAGTCTTGCCCACTGTGACCTCTTCCTGGCCCTGGAGTGGCCCAGCCAGTGACAGTAGCCCCCACACTCTCACAGCCATGTTGGCAGGGTCTGTGGCCCATCCTGTGCTGCGGTGAGGTCCACCACACAGTGGACATTGGGGAACTGGCCACAATAGACAGCAGACAGGTGTGTGGGCAGCAGCACGTGATGCTGTTGAGCTGGTGGGGTTGGGAGCTGCAGTGTGGCAGGGCTTGGAGAAGGTGCATGCTGATCTCTCACTGCATTGTCTTTCCCTGTGCAGGGTGACACCATTGTCGTTGAGGGACCGGCGGGGGCCCGTGGCAACAAGGGCGAACCGGTGAGTGCCCCAGCCCAGATGGATCCCCATTCCCCAGGGCTGGAGTGGTTATAGGCTCTTCCCAGGGCCATGTCCTTCCCTTTGAGGGGAGGATTTACCTCAGCAGGGAGACTTGTTCTGGTGGTTCTAGCCCTGTGTGACCCTTCTCCATGCTTAGGGTTCATGTGCAGATCTTCCCGCACAGGCCTCCTCAGCCGTCTCCCTTTAGCTACAGCCAGGTTCTGCCCAAGACCTCTTCCCATCTGAGTCTTTCTTGCATGTCAAATCCTTGCCCCTGTGGGGGTCTGACTACTTCTTCCTCTGCTCCTCCCCACTCCAGGGAGATCGGGGCCTGAAGGGGAACGAGGGAGATAAAGGCAACAAAGGGGATCAGGGCCTCCCAGGCGAGAAGGTATGTGAGCCCTCAGCAGGGGAGAGGAATTGGTGTGGGGCAGGGGCTTTAGATCTGTATCTGTGGGAGCTTCAGGACCTGGAGCTGCAGCCAGCACTGGGGCACTGCTGGGGCATGGCCCAGTGTGGGACTGTGCAGGAACAGCTCCAGGGATAGCTTCGTGTTCCCTGTCCCACGCAGCCCCAGTTGTCACACAGTGGTACAGTGGCTGATTCGCTCAGCCCAGTGGGATGCCTCCTTCCCCTGGGACACTGGCAGGAGCCAGCGCTGGGGGCAGCGCTGGGGGCAGGAGCTGCCTCAGGTGAAGTCATCAGGCATGACTTTTCAGATTGGCAAGATGTTTGAGCCTAGAATGAGCTGCCAGCGGATCCGTGCCCCTGCATGTACAGGGGAACAGGGGGCACTTTTCTCGTGCCAGGCAGTGACCTCTTCTTTTGCCCCACAGGGTGTCAAGGGGCAGCAGGGCGAGAAGGGCTCCACAGGCTTCCCAGGAGCCCGGGGCCCTGATGGGCAGAAGGTAAGGGTGTTCCCACAGGCAGGCCTGAGCCTGCACATGGGGTAGAGTAATGGGGGTTGTGTGTGTGTGTGTGTGCATGCTAGGCAGGGAACACATGCCTGCCAAACACAGATAGCCATAACCTGTCTACACTCACCTGCTGCTGACACACGGCCTTGCCAGACATGAGCACATACCTAGCCATGCACACAGCCCTGGGCAGTGCGTGCTTGGGGCCCCTCACTGACACATGCAGCCCAAACCACCCCCAACCATACCTGTTTGTGTGTATGTGGCCTCACTGATGCCCACAGCCTTGCGAGCCCTGACCAGGTGTCTTCCCTCTTGCAGGGTGAAGTTGGTGAGTCAGGCGAGCCTGGAGAGCCGGTGAGGTCCAGTCCCTTTCTGCTATGGCCCCTACGTGCTGGGAGCTGAGCCCCAGGGTCACTCTGTGTTTGTTTTCCTTCAGGGGCAGCCAGGAAAGGACGGGATCCCTGGCACAAGAGGAGAGAAGGGCGACATGGGACCGATGGGAATGCGTGGTCCTAAGGTGGGGATTTTGCCTCAGTCTGTCTCCCATGTTACCATAAGAGAGCCCCAGCTGTCTGAGCCTGGCACAGCGCTTGGGTATGACAGAGGGAAACAGACGCCTCTCTCCCTGTCGGCTTGAGGACAGTCCCAGGAGACCCCAGGCTTCAGGCTTGCCATGGGGTGGGCACTGCTCTGTGCCCTCTTCCTAGGGGCTGTAACCTCCCAGGCTCTGATGTGGTGGCACCACCTGCAAGGTGGGCAGTCCTGCTCCAGCCTGAAACCCGGGGCCCAGCACAAACCCTGTCTGTGGCGCCTAGCACCCCACTTCAAAGCAGGGCCAAGTGCTGGGAGCAAACTGTCTCTGCCCCTCTGTGATATATTGTGACCCCTGCTCTTCCCTGCAGGGAGAAAGGGGAATGAAGGGAGCCTGCGGCCAGGATGGGAGCAAGGGGGAGAAGGTGAGTGCCAGGGTCCCCTCTCCAGCCTGTCAGCAGCTCATGCCCAGAGGTGGATCCCAGTGTGGCAGGAAGGTGGGGCTGCGCTGTGGGTTGGATGTGCCACTGGAGTTACCTCTGGGAGAAGGGCCTTGCAGCATCTCTGTACAGGAATTAATAGAATCCGAGAGATGTTGGACTGGAAGAGACCTCCAGAGGTCATCTAGTCCAACCTCTGCCTGAGGCAGGATCAGCCCTGTCCAAACCATCCTGTACAATCCATCATCTAAACTCTTTGTATGACTGCCATCAACAACGCTGACACAGCACAAGACAGAGTGCCCTCATCTGTCACAGATAAAGCAGGGAAATCATGACAGCCAGCGTCCTCCTTCTATAAAAGGTTGCTTATATATGCTCAACAGATCCCAGGCAGAGGGCCACACCTTTTCCCCTTCCCTTCCTCCCACCTGCAGAGGAAAGTGAAAACCCCAACAGTGCAGACTAACCTGACCATGGGGTAAAATTGCTTTCTGAACCCATATATGGCAATTGGCCTGGCCCTGAATAGAGGAGCAAGACCCTCTAACCAGGAACCTCTGGCTTTAAGATCCAGCAGGAGCACTGGGACACCCCAGTCAAAACCCCCAGCTTTGGCAGCAGCAACACCCAATGCCTCTGAGGAAGGCTTAAAAGCACCCCACCACAGGTAGCATGTAGAATTGATCTCATGCTCAGGGGGTTCTGAAGGGAAAAAGGCCGAAGGGTTGGGGCAGCTCAGTCACCCGTTGGAGGAGCCAGTGAGGTTGGCTCCAAACTTGCTGTGCTGTCAGCTGCCTGGCTTGCCTGCTGGGTTGGATGGTGTCCAGAAGCAGCACCAGCCCCAGGGGCAGAGCTGGGCTGCAGAAGGGAGCTGCATGCAGAGGAAGAGGCACCTTTAAGATGCCTTGGATTGGTCCTGCCCTGCAGCCCCTGTGTTTGGGCAGGAGTCAAGCTGCTTTCCCTCCCTTCTTGTCGTCCCTATTGACACATCTTCCTCTGCCCACTCTAGGGGGAGTCAGGGATGCCAGGCCGACCAGGACTGCCCGGACGGAAGGGTGAGCCGGTAAGCACACAGCTGGCACCGAGGCACTCTGAGGGGAGCACGAGTTGGCAGTCCTAATGAACCTCTGCTTGTTTCTCTAGGGAGAGCTGGGCATGTCGGGAGCCCCGGGGATCCCTGGGAAAGAAGGCCTCATGGGCCCCAAGGTAGGGAAGTGGGGGCATGAATCGGAGAGGAAGGGAAGTGCGGGGGGGCTGTGGCTGGCTGGTTTCCCCACTCAGGTGCCTGGGTTGGAGCTGGTGTTAATTAACTGATACATGCCCATGGTCCTGGGCACGAAGAGTTGGAGGTCTCCAGTGGTGGTAGTGGAGGCCCCAAAGTCTTCAGGGCCTTGTGCCACAGCTCTGCCCTGCATATTGAGCTCTGGGGAGGGCAGCCCGAGCACACAAATTTGGATGCCTTGCTCAGGATCTGCAGGGGGTCTCCCAGGTCCCTGTCCTACCCTCACCTGTGCTGAAAGGGGAGGTGCTTTCCTCCCTGCCTAGTCATCTGGGAGCTGCATGCTGCGGGCACAGAAGCCCCGAAGAGGGTCCCATCTGCTCCAACAGGGAGGAAGCTCTGCCCTCCTCCTCACCCCAGCAGCTTCATGTGGCGTGCCGGTAGCTTTGGTTCCATGCTATGCCAGACTCTTTCTCACTGGCTGCCATGAGGATCACTCTGGAGGCCATGCCTTGAGTACCCTGTTGTATAGGGAAATGAGTTTTAACATCCTGGGAATCCGTACCCATACCCCACACTGGGGGCTTTGCCAATATGTACTACCTCCCTCCATCCCCCTCCCCCAAAGCACACAGAAACACCACCTGGCTCTTTACTTTCACAGGGTGACAGGGGATTTGATGGGCAGCAAGGAGCCAAAGGAGACCAGGGGGAGAAGGGAGACCGGGTGAGTTATGTCACATGAAAAGGTATATTCCCATCCTGGATGTCTGTGAGAGTTTTGACAGGGTCAGCGCCTGCTCCTAAGTGCTTGGGCCTCTGGTGACCTTCCCAGAGCAGCTCCCAGCCCTAGCCTGATGGCCCAGCAGAGGTGCCTGCAGCTTCCTGATTGCCAGGGAGCTTTCAAGTGCTTGTTGGATGCTGTCCAGGCCCACACGTTGCCCAATGTATAGACAGACTCAGCTGTCAGAAGGCTCCAAACTTGCTGTGTCTCAGAAGGCCCGTGGTGATTGTATAACTAAGATGAGGGTCCCAAAACTGGCTTGAACCCCTTGAAATTCCTGCCATCCTCAGGATGCCAACCTGGCAGGACCAGTGCTTTTGGGATGAAAGCAGGATTTCAGCAGGGTCAGCCCAGCTGTTAGCTACTGAGAGCAAACCCAGCCTGGGAGGTCTGGCTCGGACTGTCCGTGACCTGCCCTGCCCCCAGAGGGTAGAGAGGGGGAAGGGTGGACACTGTCACTAACGCTGGTGCTTCCCAGTCGGGCCTCAGACCTTCAGGAATCACAGCACTGATTTGCAAATCTCAAGGGGTTACAGATGGCCAGTGTGTGGTTCCTTCTGGTTTCTAAGCCTTCAGGTCATATTTTTAAGCTCGTTTCCATTGCTGGGAGGCTGGAATATTACCAGGTTTCATGCATGCTGAGGTGCTCACATAGTCACAGGATTCCAGGAGCTGGGGCTTTAAGGAGAGCAAACCCACCTGTTACAAGTCTCATGATAAGTTAGCGAGTGCTGGCACTGTGTCTGTGGCATGTAGAACAGGCCTGTCCTATGCTGACCCAATGAGGGCCTGGTGCCAGGCTTAGCAGCATGTGCACTCTGGCCTCCCCATGTGTGGAACAGCAGTCATGCCCTGCCTGACTCTCTGCTCTCTCCCTAGGGTGCTCCAGGTATTATAGGTGCTTCGGGGCCTAGGGGCAGTGATGGAGCCCCTGGGCCACCCGGCCCACCAGGGAACGTTGGACCCAAGGGCCCTGAGGGCATTCAAGGACAGAAGGTGAGAACCCCGTCCCCACTACACAGACACCTTCCTCTGGATGGCCAGCCACTGCCTCCACAATGAAGAGCACTGGACCCCAAAACCCAGCCCTCCCCTTCCTCCTGCCTAGATCAGGTGGGAGCAGTGGCCTCTGGCCTGTGCCTACAGGATTCACAAGCCAGTTTGTAGAGGTTCCTCTTCCCCATCTGGTTCAGTTCTTCCTGGCGTCTCCCCATCCCAAGGGCAGCGAGGAGGGACCTGGCAACAAATACCAGGGACAGACTCTGGGAAGGAGCCTCTCCCTTTGAAGGCCCCTGTGCAGTGAGCAACGGGCAAAGACAAGTCTGCGGGAGGCAAGGGCAGTGTTGCCCAGTGGTTGGGACTGGGAGTCAGGGCTCCTGAGTTCCATTCCCAGAGCTTTGTCATTGCCCCCGAGTTTGGTACTTGCCTTGGCTCCTCTGTAGCTCTGGGATGGTTACCTTGTCTCCTGGGGGGCTCTGGGGCCTCAGTAATGGTGGCAAGGGCCTGCCATGGCATTCTGCAAGGGTGCGGTGTTCACTGGGGCTGTTTGGAAGCCCTTGCCTGGGCTCAGGTGGTTCCCAGGACCTTCTATTCACTCCCCAGACTGGCTCCAGCACTGCCCAGGGCTGGCCTGGGGGGCTGTCCCTCAGAGCTGGGTTCCTCCCATGGCCAGGGGACCCTGGCTCCCCTTGTTGGGGAGTAGAGCCTAATGTATTGGATCTGGCTGAGGAACCGCTGAGAACAGGTGGGGCTAAGCCAGGTGGCAGCTGTGGCCCTAGTGCCCTCTCTGCACCCACGAGCGCCTCTGGGAGGAGGGGGTGGGTCTGTGCATGGTCTGCAGGATCCCTCCAGCAGCCCAACCCTAGACCTGAATCTGGACAGGTTCTCATGGTGTGTTCCTGCCACAGGGTGAAAGAGGCCCCTCTGGGGAGTCGGTGGCTGGTGCCCGAGGAGTCCCAGGAATTCCTGGTGAGCGAGGAGAGCAGGTGCGTGTCTGTGGTGGGATGCCCTGACTTGCCAGCTTAACCTTGAGCCCACCCTGGGCTTCTGCAGAGAGGCTGTCTTGGCCTACAGAGCTGCTGCCCCCGTCACACAGCTCTGATTCCCTGTTGTGCTTGTCTTCAGGGGAACCCAGGCCTTGAAGGTCCTAGAGGAGAGAAGGGAGAGCCTGGCATGATGGTGAGGATTGCTCCTACCCCCTCAGCACTGCCCTGGTGTGGCCCTGCCCAGTGGTGTACTTCCCTCCCCCAGGGCTGGCACCTGCACTCCAGGCTTGGTCTCCTGCTTGGCAGGATGGATTTCCCCTCTACCAGCTTCCTCTGTGTCTGGCTCATGGACTGAAGTGGAGAGAGGGGACTCTTTCCCTCCACTGGTCCCCAGGCCTGCTGAGGTGCCCCTGCCCTGGCAGGGAGAGGGAGCACCTCCGCCCAATCCCTTCACTCGGCTCTTTGCTCTGCAGGAAGAAGAGATCCGAGAGTTTGTGAGGCAGGAGATGAGTCAGCACTGCGGTAAGTCGGGCCCAGGGGCCCTACACTCCTCCCTTCCCCTCTCGCCCCTCCCTGTCCTGCTGCCCCCACTACTGGGGCAGTAGCATGGGCCAGGATGCCTGTCCTTAGCATGTGTGTGCTGCACCTTGCAGTCCAGCCATCTTGGCCCTGGGGATCCCCAGCCAGTGACAGCCTCTGTCCAATCGCCAGCTACCCAAAGTGGTTTTCCCACCATTAACTTTGCCTCTCTCTCCCTGCAGCCTGCGGTGGCCGTTACCCCTCTTCTGGATCACGTGAGCATCGCATCTTTGGCTGTCTTCCCCCTATGGTCCCAGCTCACAGTGGAAACCTTGTTCTTGCCAAGCAGGTCCACTCTCCCAGATATGCAGCAGACTTCATGGAGGCAGGAGGCAGGGTGTAGGTCCACGCAGCTGGCTTGGCATTTGTTCTCTCTCAGGGCCAGGGAGCTGCTGCCCTGTGGAGAGCCTGGCTTGGTGATGAGTCCTAGGAGACTTGGAGAGAGAGTGTGTAGAGGGTGCTGTGCTGGCAGGGGAACTGTCTCTGGGAGTTACTGACCGTGCCAGGACCTGGAGGGCATGGAGCAGGCATGGTAGGACATGGCAGGAGCTGAGGCTGCCATAGAGGTAGCAGGTGTCTGGAGGCCTCCTGGGGGCTGTTTGAAATGCTCCAGACAGATTTTCCAACAAGGCCTGAATGCTGCCTGCACAGCAGGACATCAAGGCAAGTGCATGGTGGCAGCCAGAGGGGATCAACCAGAGACTCTCAGCACTGTCGAGTAAATTCCCATCAGCGAGAAGGGCTGCAGACCTGTTCACCTGGGGACCCTGTTGCATGAGTTTTGCTGGGGACAGTCTATAACCGAGCATCTGACCAGCAAAAGAGCCCTGCCCTGAGCAACCCTGACCTGAGACAGGTATCTGGGATGGTGTGGCAGAGACAGCCACAGCAGTTGCCTCTTCCCTGAACCCAGCACCCTAGGCAACTCACAAGTGGCGTCATCCCCTTCTCTTTTCCCACTGGCTTTTCATGGACTCCTGAGTAGGGAAAGTAAGTAGGGACATATGCTTAAGGGACCGTGGGATGCAGGGGGACAGGGCTTTATTGCACGTTGGCTGCTGCACAGTGTCTCCCCACATGCGTGCTCCCACCCCATGCTAAGTGGAAGCCTTCTCAGGTAGTCAGGACCCCACTGAGTGGGCAAAGCCATTGCAATTCATCTTCCAGTTTCCATGGGGCAAGCACATGCATGGAGGGACTGAAGCCAGGTAAATCCCCACTCTCTTATAGCCAGCAGCAAATTGTTCATATGGTATGGACCTTTAGTACTGGGTAGCTTTGCATGGAGGAGCCTGTCTTGATAGCAAGGCACCGAGTACATGGCAACAGGCTGTAGTAGAAGACTGATCCTGCAAACCGGGACTGCTATAGGAAACGCAAGGGAATAGGAGCTCACAGGCCATGGAGGGAAGGTGGAACAAGGAGGTGAAACCTGAGGGAGACTCTCCAGGGCCAGGTCTGGTACAAGTTGGTGCAGGCAGAGAAAGCTCAGAGGGGAAGGTAAGAGTTGGCAAAGAGAGAAAAGGGGGAGCTGGAAAGTAAGGGTTCAGGGAGAGGAAAGGAAATGGGAGCTGCTGTTTGTAGGGAAGAGGAGGCCGGCAGAGAGCACAGCCAAGCTGGTAGTGCTGCGCAGACTATGACGTGAATTATTTGCCTGATTGCTCTCCAAGGCGGCTGGGGGACACATGCAAGGAACAGACATAAATGTTCCAGCAGAGGAAGAAGAAATCCCAGAGCTGCTCAGCATCACAGCAGACCAGGTGATGGAGAAATCGGAGCATCTGCCAAACTGCTCACATGCAGGCCTGCGGACAGGCAGGCAGCAGTCAGGCCCATGGAGCTGGAGAGAGATGCTCCCAGTAGAAGGCACCAGACAGTTTTCAGTCACAGGCTGGACCAGCCTCAGGCAGTGCAGAGCTCAGAGAGGTCAGGGCCTCAGCATGTGTGTGGTAGACTTGTCTTGTTGTGTAGAACCTGTGACCATGATGTGCCTCCTCCAGACTTGTTGGGTGACCCTGCTTCATATCTGGGAAGACCTGAAGACCTTTGCCACACTTGTCTGTCTCCTATCATGCATCATTTCCCCTCCCCCTTGCTATTTTAATAGCTTCATTGCATGTGTAGTTGTGAAGATTTAACCCGCCAATGTGTATCTGATGTTCAAGCGGTGTTCAAGAGCAAGTGCATGCTGTAGCCAGCAGTCTGCAACCCTGAATGTGGGGTAGGGGATGGTTAGGGAGTATGGGGTCTGGAAGGGATGAATCTTCCTTGGTTTGTCCAAGGGTCACCCCATGCTGGGATCTTCAGAAGCTCTTGGAGAAGTGAATGGATTTGCTGCATAGCCCCATATTCCAGGAGGTCCTGCCTGGCCACAGGCAGGAGGAAGTGGCTATGCAGATCATGTCATACGATGGGGCTTCCTAGCGGCAGGAATCAAAAAGGATCTTGTACCCTGGACCTTTGTACGGTGCTTATCTCATTATCAGCCATTGTCCCCCTTTGGTTGCCAGCACCCTGTTACCTTTGCGCTGTCTCTAGCTTGCTCTTAGCAGATGGGGTGGGGGTGGATGATGCTGATGCTGCTCTTGAGCCCTGGCCTGTGGTATGTCTGTCGTGTATACTGAAGCTGGTGGGAACTGTGTTGGTCATTCTTATGTCTGGTGTGATGTCCTGTCGTTGTCCCCTTCAGGTCCTCTCCCCAACTATCCATCCACCCAACCGTTCTCGTCTGTTAATGCTCAACTAGTGCCCGTGCTTAAGTTGTCCCACACTGAAGAGGAGGGTGAGTCTCATCTGTCTGTGCTGTGTCCTCCTGTACTTTCTCTGGTGTTATCTGTGCCAGTCCTGCCTAGAAGCTGTGCCATGAAAGTGCCCTTCACTTGCAGGTACCATGCAGCCTTAGTGCCCCCCACTAGCACGGTAGTTCTGGTAACAGGCACGGTGAATGCTTGCTACTATTTTGTTGCTAAGTTCTATCTTGGTACTGGACATTATATTAAGACTTTGCCAAAGACATTGGGGCAGAAAAGATAGGGAAGTCTGTGCCATGGCATCAGTCCCCAGCCCCATGTAAGGCCAGGCTGGTTAGAGGGAAGGGGTATGAGTATGGGCGTGTGGAAGCAAAGGGTTGTTGTTGGTATAACAGCCATGCTGCGCTTGGCACTAAGAGCTGTCCATAAGTAAATTGAGTGGCTCCACTGCATTAAAACAGGCACAGTGCTCCTGAGAGGAGCTGCAGGGCCCAAAGAGTGACCCATGTGATGTGACTGGGCAGCACCTCTCTAGCTTGGCTTTCTCTGGCCAAGGAAGCCATGGCCTCAGCTGGGCATCTCAGGGGCATGCTGCTAAAGGCCAGTCTGTTGAATCTGACATTTCCATCAGCCCCTCCCAGAAGCAGAGGCTAAGATCAGTTATCTTTCCAGGAAGGGTAAGGCAGAAATTCACACATGGTCTCAGCTACCAGCCTGAAGTCCTTGTCCATTGTTCCTTCCCACCTGCCTGGTCCTTCTGGGCAGTGTTGCTGACGTGGCCGGGATTGTTTTCTAGGGCAGGAAACACGAATTGTGGTGGATTCTGATGACCCAGAGTATGAGCAGATGTACATCGAGGACTATGGAGAGGATGTGGATGCTGAGGAGACAGAGCATCCCATGCTGAGCGATGGTGAGCTCTGTGTGTTTGTGTGTATGTGTGTGTGAGCTGTGTGTGTGTGAGTGAGGGAGAGAGAAGCCTAGGTCTCTTCCTTTCTAACCTTCTGCTTCTTTGGAGCAGGCAAGGTCAGTCTGCATGGCTCCTTCTGGTAGAGCACTCTTCAGCGAGGCTAGCTGGCAGAGATGGGCAAACAAGTCACGGAGGCTTTTGCCCCTCAGTCACTCGTTCCAGTCTGGCTGATTGGTGTTGTCAGGCTGTTGTGAAATGAGTGTGTGCATCTCTGCTGAGTTCTCAGTGGACCAGCATCCACATCCTGTGAACCTACCCCCACCCCAATGGGCACAGATTTCTCTGCTCTGAAGAGCATTAATGAAGCTCCCTAATGTTCTCTGCTGGAGGGGAGCAGGACATCAAGCAATGTGGATCTAAATCCTGGTCTCTTCCCTCTCAGCCCCCAGGGTCCAGCCCAAGTAAGTCTGCTCATTGTTTCCTTTCTCCCAGCCGACCCGTGCAGCTTGCCCCTGGATGAGGGAAACTGCAGCCGGTTCACACTGCGGTGGTACTACAACCAAAGAGTGGCTGAGTGCCGTCCCTTCATCTACAGCGGTTGTGGCGGGAACCTCAACCGCTTCTATGCCAAGGAGGACTGTGATCACCAGTGCAGGCACCATGTGGACACAGGTAAGAAGGCCCGGCAGGGCAGCCATGGGCTGTTTCTGCTCTGATGCTGATAGGCCCAGGATGGCAAATGTCCTGTCCGCACAGGGCATGGATGAAAGCAGGGCCAAACTAGATCTGTGGTTCTCCACCGGGGGTCGTGAGAACCTGCCTGGGATACTGTGACAGTGACACCATGGCATGGCCATGCACCTGTTTCCAGGAGTCCTGTCACAGGTAAACAGAAAAGTGGCTGTAGCAGAAAAGTGTGCACCTCCCTGCATTGCATTTGGCTCTGACACACCTCGTGGTTAACTGAGGCACACAGCACAGTTTCACTGCCATTACACCCCCTTGGCTGACCCCCCTCCCACCTCCTGGTCCTTTTGCCCACCCCGTGTCCCTCCCAGCCCCTCAGCACTCCCCAGTGCTAGGTATGCATCCCAGCACTTCATCTCAGCCAGCTGGGCATCCTGAACTCTGTCCCTTAGCTAGGGTAGCTGGTGTAGCTAAGGGAAGACCTTGGTCCAGTTGTTTCTGGTTCCCACCAACAAGCTGGAGCCATGGTGGGGAGTTCCATAAGAACATAAGAAACGATTTACTGGGTCAGACCCAGTCAACTGTGTCGTGCAGTGGCAGAGAACAAATGCTGAAAGGGAGAATGATCTGGGGTGACCAGGGTTTTTTCCACTGTTGCTTTCTTCTTTGCAGTCTCCTGCATTTAAGGTCCAGGAAGTTCTGATCCAGAAGCTGCACCCCTCATGCTCATCCTCAATAGCTACTGATACCCCTTTCCTCCTAGAATGTGTCCAGTCCCTTTTTTGAATGTGGCTAAAATGTCAGCATTCACAGCCCCTTGTGGCAATGGGTTCCACACTTCAGTGATACGCTAGGTGAAAAAGAACTTCTTTGTGTTAAACTTACTACCTAGTAGCTTCATTTTGTGGCCCTTAGTTCCCTACTGCACTAGAAGCAAGCGTGCGGTAGGCCAGGCAGAGCTGAGGGAGCACTCCCCTCCCTGCCAACAGCCCGAGGGCATTAATATAATACAACTACAATTATATAATCAATAAGTTATTAGTTACAATAAGGATTATAATGCTTACATTATAATATTCCTGCTACATTTCAATTCACTTTTTAAATGAGGTGCTGCTAAATTCTGAACAATTTTTGGTGGGGGCCTTGAGTGTAAAAGGATTGAGAGCCATTGCTCAAGTCACTGGGGACAGGGATCAGAGCAGAGGGATCCTCCTTCCAGCCCTCTGCTTTCCTCACCACCTCCTCTCTCTTTCCCTGCAGAGGTCTACCTAGCAGGTGGGAGCATGTCAGAGAGGAAGAAGAAGCCATGACCTGCCCTGTTTTAGTGGGGCTCTTCCTGTCTGAGTGGAACCCCACCTGCCCGTTCCATGAAAGACTTCTTCAGGTCCTCCAGGGAGCCCGGCCGGGGCCTGCTCAGTGTCCTGGCCACATGTGGTGCCTTGGGCCTAAGACACCCCTCACTGCTACATCTGCTGTCTACTGTGGCACGAGGTGCCCCGGCCCGGACCAGAGACCGGTGCTATTTTGTACTAAGTATTTGTGTTGCTCTGGGGTTATTTTTCTGTTCGTTCTCTTGGTTTTTAAGTTCAGGTGAAATTTTTATCAAATGGCAAAAAGGGGAAGAAACAATATTTGTAGCTTTGTGGGGGACCAGTGCTTTTTAACTTATTGGAGGCTGATGACCGATAGCACGTGAAATGTACTAGCTGGACCAAACCCAGGCTGGCTGCTGCTGGCTCTGTGTCAGGTCACAGGCTGTGGGCCGGTGCTGGGGAATGGAGGAGCCAGCCCGAGAGTCTCCCAGCCTGGAACGTGTTGGGCAAGGCTAAGAACGGGAATGTGAGTGCACAAAGCCCTTTGTTTATAGTCAAAGTTTGCCTGCCATGAATGCTCCAAAGGGCTAAATGGCCTTGGTGCTTACAGGAAGCTGCCCCATTTGGGCTCCCAGGTGCTGGAAGGATCCTGGCAGGCGCTCCCCTCTTCACTGGCTTTCCCTCTTGTTGTGTTTCCTCTGGGGGCTCTTTCGGCAGGTCCTCTGCCTGCCCTCTGTCCTTAGCCCAACCCAAGCTCCGTATACCATCAGGCAGGAGAAAACGCCAGACTCTTTGGGCAGTGCCAGCTCTGCCAGAGAGGAGTCTTCACAGGTCGGACAGGACAGGTTGAGGATCAGGCCTCTTCCAGCCCTTGTCCTAGCCAGAGCCAGAGTCCCTTTCTCTAGGTTAGAAAAGCTGCTTGCCCTTCTCAGCCTTTCTCTCCTCTGCTGCTCCAGCGCCCATGTGGGAACACCTTACAAACAGCAATGTCTAGGCAGCTGCATGGCAGTGAAGGCCGCAGCTGGGCACTCCTGAGCCACAGGCCCCCTTTCCTGCCCTCTGGTTATAGTCAAGATGCTCCTTGGGGGTCTCAGTCAGCATTAGCCAAAGGGAAGGTCTTGGTGGTTTTCTCAGGCCTCCAAACCCCAGTACCACAGTGGCTGTTTACACACTCCATCTGCCACCTTGTCTGCCCACTTCCAGCCAAGCCATTCACTGGGAGGTACAGGTGGTGGGCAGGGCCTTGATGGGGACCCTCCCTCCCTCCTGCTTCCACCTCATCTGGGCACTGCTGGGCACCTACCAGCATTCATGGGAACATCAAGCTGCTGCCCAGCCCCTTTGTGCTCAGACCCTGCCCAGGGAGGCACCTCAGAAATGCGTACGATGTTACAGGCTCTGCCAGTGAGAATCCTCCATTTAAAGGGAGAATGTCTGGCTGTTACTGAGACCCGGGCATCCTGTGTGGTCAGGAGCTGGGCAGGTTTCACAAGGAGGCTTCAGTAGTTGATTTCACCACTTGTAAGCCATGGCTGGGAGCTCAGAGCCGGGTACGGCTGCATTATTCACATGTGTTTTGCTGCTGGGTGGAACACATGCACCTGCAGACGGGCAGCAAGGTCCCATTCATCATCTTCCCCCCCCACACACCAGGTTTTCATTTGAAGAAGTTTCACCTCATCCTTCACCAGGAACCAGCGTTCTCTCCTGAGAGCGACAGCACTGGAAGAAACCCAGGCACAGACCAGCGAGCCCTTCAAGGCGAGTGTGGAGCTGCCTTGTAGAGGCACCTGTAACCATGCATGCTTTCGCCCCTGCTCTTCAACCCAGTGGTGTTGAACTGTGAGACGAGACTCAACAGGGAAACACTGAGGATGGTGCTAATGCTATTGTAAGGTCTTGTCGTTGTATGTTATTTGAAACAGCTTTGGAAATTTCTGTACTGCCGTGCTCCTCACCACCCTGGGTGCTGCCTCTCACCCACCAGAAGCCACCATCTTAATAGGTATTTGGAAAAAGATGGAAAAGCCATGGTGGGGTGCATCAGTTTGACCCCTGCCTGTCTTGCTGCACTGTGTGTATATCTGTATACAGCATATGTATATGTGTATGGAGGTGAGAGGGGTGGGAGTTTTACAATAAAGCTGTGCTAACTGGAGTCTTAAGTGGTCATTGTAATGACTCCTAATGAAGACAGACTTTCTTCGGATGGGAGACTGTTTCCACTGGGGGACTGCTCCAGTTTGAACACTGTTGGGTGAGAGTACATGGAAGTAGTGGATGATGCCCCCAATGGCAGTATGGGAGCCTTCACAAGAGATCCTACAGCCCCGGAGCTCAGTGGCCCAAGTGCTGCAGCCAACAGAGCCGATGTACTAGTAGTTCTCACTGTGGGCTCCACTGAGTTGATTGGAGGGTCTGGGTGTTCCTTTTAAGAGCCAAGGGACCAGGGTGCAGGGGCCTTTAAGTCCAGATAGTGGAGATAGGCTGGTAGTAGTAGGGACAGCTGCAAGGGGCACAGGTGCCAGGCTAGAGTCCCATCAGCCTTTCTTTGGGGTCACAGAGGGAAAGAGTCCAACTCCAAGGGGGAGTTGTCCAACTAAACTCAAAGCTGTGTGTCCATCCCAGGCCCTTCTCTGCCCCTGCAACTGCTTCCTGGCTCTGGCAGGGGGTCCTGTGAGGTGATCAAGTCTGGGGATAACTGGTGAGACAGTGATGGATGGAGCTAATCACCAGCCCCCACTGCAAACCAAAGCAAGTTTAAAAATAGCCTGCCCTGCATGGCACTGCCGCTTTCCCAGCGATGACATCACCACTCTGTGGGGGAGCCGGCACTGCCGGGGGCTCCCAGCGTGCATGTCACTCGAACCACAGGGGCTCAGCTTCCAGTCAGCCAGGGTGGGGAACTCAGTGTCCAGCATGGCCAAACCACAGCATGTGTATTAATAGCATCAGACAAAGGCACCCAGTGTGTGTGTGGGAGGCAGATGCACTGTCCAGCCTGTGCACAATAGGGCAGCTGCCCACCCGTCCCGTAAGTGAGGCCTCAGGGCACGAGTCCACCCATGGGTACTCCACAGATTATGGGCACGGAAGGGGTGACAGACCAGCACAGGCCTTGCTCAGCCTGCAGGAAAGCATTGGGCCAAGCAGGACCAGGGACTGGTGCACCACAGTTGGTAGGGGCTATGTGTGGAGGTTGTGGGTTAATTCGTGTTTGGGTAAAACTGAATCTTGTGTAGGCAGAAGTTGCCGGTGTGATGCCAAGACCAGCTGAACAAGAGCATGTTGGACTCAAATGCTAGGCTGGCTTCCAAACCAATTCTCTGTTCATGCTGTGGTCCTGGTCCTTCTCTAGGATGCCATGGCCTGACAGAGAGGCCACCTCTCTTCACACACCTAGCTGTGGCAGCTCAGCTCTCCAGGGGCAATATAGCTGACCCAGTGCCAGTCTCAACTCATGGGTGGTTTTGGTGGAGATCCTCAGGCTTGAGACCCCGTCACCATCCAATGGACTGAGCATGAGGAGTGCAACCCTGGGGCAGCACTGAAGGCCTTGCCGTGGTGAGGGAGGTGTGGAAAGAGCCCAGCAACATGATTGCTGGAAGTAACTATGCCAGCTAGACTTCTCAGAGGTCAATAGGACTAAAGTATGAGGAGAGGACAGAAATGTGGAAGCTCTGATGCTGCTCCAGGTACATGTCATGGTGCCTCACTATTACAGTGCTGGGGTTTTTAAAGATGTATAAATAATTGTAGGACTAGAACTGTCTTGTCAGGACACCCAGTCCATCGCCTACCACTGCAGCAACCACCTGACTTGATCATGGCACCAGGAAATACAGACTCAGGACACTGGAGCCTGTTCCCCCATCAGCAAATCACTTTGCCACTTGGGGCCTCAGTTTCCCCACAGGGAAGATATGGATTCCCATGGAATGCTCATCATGGGCTTAAATGTATTCAAGCTTATAATATGCTTTGAAGTGCTCAAAGCTAGACGCATGCCAAGGCCCCTTACCAAGAAGGGCTGAGCACCCTGGATTGTGCTGCACGTGGCCTTGTAGAGGGGTGAATTATTTGCAGTAACTCTACCCCCTGGCTGAAGGCTTGGGGGCTTCTTGGGCTGCCAACTCCAAAGCTCTCATATATTAAGAGGAACCCGTACCGCAAGATCACTTGGTATCCAAGTGTTGCTCACTCCAAAGTGTCACAGGGCTTTGCTAGCAGCTTTAGCATGTGGTTTTGGGGCTTCTATTCTCCTCAAATGACTATAAACCAGGATGACAAGAGCAGAACGGCTTGATTAGATGCAAAAATCATCAAGAGTCAGATGCATCAAGTTCCTGGAACACCCTGAAATTGGTCTAATCGTCTTGTTGGGGAGGGCAGGCAATAACCTCACTCGCCCTCACCCCACGAGATGATCTCATCTGTACTAAGAGATGCGTGTCACTGGACCCGCTCAGAGCGGGTACCCCCACAGGGCAGGGGGCAGAATTGCTTTGGGAGTGGGGCGGGGCAGGTTAATAAGAACCCAGAAGCCTCAAGCTGGGCTGGTGTTACTTAGGACACACCAGCCACAGCAGCAGCAGCAGCAGTTGTGTGGCATCCAACTCCTTTGCTGTTGACTCCTGAGGACTTGGAGCTGCTTTCTGAAGCGGTCCCAGGCTGTGCTTTCAGGGGAGAGCATCTGGCAGGAGAGGATTCTATGGGACAGGTGAGATTTCACACTCGAGCCATCATTTATGAAGAGTTAGGTGGCAGGTTGCTTCTTACTTGGACAGGATGCTTTTACCATGACACCTGGTTCTCAGTGCAAGTGCTTAAGGTGTATTTTTAGAAAGAGAGAGTCCGTAAGAAAATTGCCTGATACAACCTGCAAATGGCTTTTCAGTCTCTTCTCTTGAGCCCAGGGCAAATGTGACCATAGAGAAAACAAACCTCAGTCTTCCCGTTCCTTCCACCTGTGCTGCTCCTAAACTTGGAGCTATGGGCACAGGATTCCTCCTTTCAGCTGACTAGTCCTTCCAGTTTCTGGAAGATCAGCAGTTCTTGATACAAATAGCTAGGGCAAAACACTCTAAACTTGGCCCCTCAGTCTGAAAGTAGTAGAAACTCCCCCACCCCATCCCAAAAAATAACTTGAAAAGGGGAAAACTAAAAACTAACATTGAGGCTTAATTTACAATTAAATGTCAAAAGGCAAATCCTAGGTTTGCTGTGAAGGGGAAAGATCTAATGAATCGTGCTGCTTGTTGCTTTGGCTGCACAACATAGTAAAGTCCCTCCACAGACATGAACCAATCTGGGAAGGTTTTTCTAGCTGATTTCCTTGGGGAACAGAGGAAAGAGCCTGGCATGAAGAGAGAGAAACAAACATTTTAAACACTTAAAACAACCCTCTGTAAACCAAAGAAAGGGCAGGGTGACACCTTAGAGACTAACTTGTTCAGAAAGGCACAAGCTTAGGGTGCTTGTACATGTGAGGATGTGACAGCCTACTGCAGCAGATGCTAGGACTTTCAGAGCTTTGCTTCCTAAACTCAGACCATGCACCAGATGCTGCTCAGGTGGGTACATCGCAGGAAGCAATAGTGGTGTCAGTTCAGAAGACAGTAGCTGATGCAGGGCAAGTATTTGGGGCTGCAGCATTTGAAAGACTCTCGCTCTCCGTCTGTCTGTCTCTCTCTCAGCACAACCTGTTGGCTTTCCATGTCTTCCCTGACCACGTGCTCTCTGCTTGCAGCCTTCCTAGGCTATGATGCCCAGTCCCAGAATCTTATCATTACTGACCTTCTTGATTGTGGCCTGGTCTCCAGTGACAGCCTCTAAGGAAATGGGCAGTGAGAGGCTTCAGAAGGTCAATGATGCTGAAGCCAACAGCTGCCAAACCAGCCACGAGGAGAGAGACCACCCTGTGAGAGAAACAACAGTGGGAAATGGCAAGGCCTCCCTGACTGTGGAGGACCCCTCAGCAGCACATGGACTTCAGCACAGAACCAGTGCTATGGTGAGGTCCAGGTGCGAAGTGACACATAGGCCATTACCAGGGGGACTGTCCACCCTGCTGAATCTCAACCACAACAGGGCTGCTGCTGTCATGAAAAAGAGCAGTCCTGGATCCAAGGTCTCCCTGTCTCTTGATGTCCCTCTGCATATCCTGAGAGTCCTGCTAGAAGAAGCCAAAGTCAAGGACATGCAAGCCAAAGCAGCAGCCAACGCAGAGCTCATGGCCCGAATTGGGCGTCGAAAGTAAATCTCAATCGTGTGAGCTCAAGTTGTCCAAACTCTGGGATTCTCTGTAGCGTAATGCAGCCCCTGTGATGTAACCAGTGCATTTATTCCTGAGTTGTGGCCAGTGGTTCCGAAAGTGCTTGCTGGTGGTTCATTGAGAACTGGCTGTTTGTAGGGTGCTGACTCCTACCTCTTTGCATACAGGTGCTGACTCCTTACCCCGGGAAGGTTAGTTGCCTGAAAAAAAAAACAACTGGAAACAAAGAAGGGCAGTCACTTCTTGTCTTTTACCACAGTTTTCCCATCTGTAGAAGGGGAACAATTATGGAACCCCTCCCCCTCAAAAATATATGAAGTGCTGTACGGACAAAAGCCCTATCCTGTACCTGCCAGATATGCTTGATGTGCCAGGTAGAGAGGCTTTTATTTAGTCTCCATTCAGAAACATTTTTGCTGTAGTCAGTGCCTAAATGAAAGGATCTGAGAACTCACCTTTAATTATGTACATACCTGCAATGGCTTTTGGCTGGGCTGGGCTGAGGTTGCTTGCACTTCAGCTATCTGTATCCAGAGGAAGGATGGTCTGGTAGGGACAACTCTGCACTGAAATTCAGCAGCTCCAGAGATCTATTTTCATTTCTCCTACAGATTTGCTGGTAGAGTTGAGAAGGGCTCATAACCCCTTTCTTTATGTCTCAGTTTCCCTATCTGTAAAATGGAGATGAAGATAGTTCCTACTTCACAGGTATTGGGAGGATAATGATTAATAATGGGTGGGGTATGGAAAAGCTGGGGAACAAGCCAACAGAGAAGAGGGCCTGGGAATCCCTGGTAGCTTCTGTGCATATTCTGAAGCCACTTTCAAGTCCAAACAGCCCCAGCCCCTTCTGTCAAACTAATGTGGGAACTGGGAGAGGCACCAGAGTTGCTGTATGACACAGAACAAGCAAAAAATTAGATAAATTCTGCTCCCTCCTCCTGACCCAGTTGACACCCAACATTTTACAGATCCCTGCCCCCCCAATCCCTGGCTGGCAGGTAGCTTGGGGGCCCCTAGCAAGAAACTGTTTCTTGACAGTTTTGTTTTAATGAAAGGAAGTTGATCTTTAAGGAGAATGTTTCCTTGTGCTTTAGACAGAAAATGAAAACTCCGGGGATAATACAGAAAACAAAATTGACAGGTGAGGTTTACAGGAACAAATTGAGACAGGTTAAGAGCTAATGGACAGGAACAATGGGTATTTGTCTCAATAATCTCTGGGACGCTGGGAAAAGAAACACAAGTCGATTAGGCCTGACTCTTCCCTTTATGTTGGTGTAGTTCTATTGTAGCAGTAGAACAATACCTCCTGTTTACAATGTTGTGGGATCCAACATGATCTCTGGATTTCTCTCTAGACAGGTTTCCCTCCGGCTGCAGGGACAGCTGTCTCTGTGACTCAGGCTACCAAATCTGGCACTTCACCCAATACACTGTACTGCTGTATATTTTTAAATATGCCGGTTTCCAGACATTTGAAATACAAGGGCTTAAATGTGTTTCCTTCTTGCTGTCTCTATGCATCTCTCTTTATAAAAAAAAAGATGTTCATTCTCCTGTATAAGAGAGTTTATATTTATCACGCTGAAGAATTTAGGAGAGAGTGCAAAGAAAGATGGGATATGTAAAATAAAAGGAGTCTTATCAAATGCTTCTGTTGTCTGTATAGCCATTCAACTAATATGTTACATCTGACTGCATCATCATAACCTGGTTGGACCCTGTCCCCCAAGGTAGCATGCATCTCTGTCGTTGGGAACCAGACAATAAATGAGCCCAGAAATAAGTGAAGCTGCAGCAAGTTGCCCCTTCCTTCTATTGGCATTTTGTCTCCTGAATAGGAAAAGCAGGGTAGTAACCAAGCCAGGGGCTGATAGAAGCGTACCATGCTGGCAGTGTGCAAGTCATTTGGGAGTAAGGTGGCAAATAAGAGGCAAAGTCACCCCCACCATTGTCAACTGGCTGAAGAGTAAAATTGGCTCTTGTGAGGTCCTTCTGGACCAAGAGTGAAGTGGAGACAATATGGGTCAGGAACTACTCTGATGATAGCAGGCCGCAAGGAGTGCAGTTCCCATCTAGCAGGATGTAATTGTGCAAAGCCCTTGAACAACTGCTTTGGGGCTGACCCAGGTGCAGCAGTGACAATCTCTGGCAACAGCCATGTTCAAACCCTCCTTGACCAAATTCAGTGGTGTGTATACGGAAATAAAGGGAAAGCAGAGTCATTCGGCAATAGAAATAGGAGCCAAATTAAACCTGGTTCATGGTGAAATGGTACCAGTTTATGTCAGTCAAGTATTTGACCTTGCTCCACATGTCTTATTTGGGTCTCCAACCAGGGTTTTAGCAGAAACAACACTCTTGCCAGCCATGAATGCAGCTGTGTGTAAATGTGAAACATCACATTTCACCGCTGGACCCTGACTCCTACGTCTTTGGTGAGCCTTTGAGATAACAGCAGAGAGCAGGGACCAGCCACTGGGTACAAAGTCCACTGCCTGTTTGCACAGGACAGGTAAAGGACTGGCTGGAAGGAGAAGCCCTCCTCAGTCCAGCTGCAGCAGATTCTGGACACTGCCATGTTCTTTGATGACTACTTGATCACTGGTAAGTACGCTTCTCCTTACAGATCCTCACAGCAGGTGCTAGCAGCAAAGCTACAGTATTTGGCAAGATGTTTCTTATGAAGGACTCATGTGCACTTTGTGATTCAGAGTGTCAGGCAGGTAGATACATTGGTGCAGCGCCTGGAGGTTTCAGCAAAAGGTGCTAACTCTGCCAATAAACAGTGCAAGGAGTGAATAGTAACAGCCAGGCTTCCTTTTGCCGACACTTAGACTCCTAGGTGCCATGATTTTTCCAGAGAGCAATGACACTCCCCACAACGCGGCTTCTGTACAATCTGACCTCTCTGTCCAGAGAGGATGGAGGATATGCAGCCAGCGCCATGACCCACTCGGATGTCCCATCTCACTTGCTGAGCAGAGCTGGACTGGATCTGAACTAGGAGAGTCCATGGGTGTTCACTCACAGGTGGGGCTATAGCAATCCTCAGCGATTATAGTGGTAGGTAATGCCTTTCAGTCTGAATCAGCTCTGAACAGCCTGGCAGCATGACGCTAGGCGGAGCTGTGCTCCATTGCTGGAAGCGTTGGCTTTCAGATGGAGATATAAAATGTAAGCCCTGCCTTCTTTTAGTCATTATGGGAGGTACACAGCTGTGTCTTGGCTGAATTTTACTGAATTAATTCCAGGCTTCCCTAAATGTCCCTGCATTTTTAAGTAGTGTTGGAGTGATACTGTAGCTGTGATGGTCCAGGCAGTTGGTCCAATAAAAGATAGCACCCTCAGAAACCCTTGGTTCTGCATTTTTTTTAATGGGATTTTGTGTCCATTCTCATTCCCAAACCATTGTTAGTGAAATGTTCAATGGATGCCACATCCCACAAGGGCACACAAGAGAGGGGAATAGACTGAGATAGAGGCAGCCAAGGGTGTTGAGTACTCATAGTGCTAAATTACTCTGGCCCCTGCCACGTTACATTTCAGGCATGGTTAACCACATGGTTAATCACAGCTTAAGTTGTGACCTGGCCACACATTCGATCAATCAATGATATGATACATAAGGAATAAGCCACCAAATTATTCCACAAAAAATGTGTAATACGTTTGTGGCTGGTTCCTATCACACCATTAATGGAAGATGTAGCCAGGTGCACCCCTGGGGCTGGGAGCACTATCAACTGAGAGGGCTTCCAGCTGCAGGTGCTTACTACTTGTTGTTGCAGGGGTCCATTGCCCCTGCTCTGGGGAGAAAAGACAACCGGGGTCAAATAACCCCAGCAAGGTGCATGTCCAGTCTCCTTTTGAAGACCTCCAGGGTAGGTGCCTGCACCACCCCTGCTGGGAGTCTGTTCCAGAGTCTGTATTAGTATGATAATTTTAATCCTTGTACGAGAGATAATACTGAAAGTGTTCAAAACGTACAATGATTTTTTCATGTCATTAAATTTGGAGGAAAAAAACCCAAGTAAGTCACTGCACTGACAATCTGAGCTGAACTAGATTATTTGATCCTATGATCTCACCCGTTCTCACTCGCATTGAACTGGAATTTGAGAAGGAATAAAGTGAGTCATATCTACCATTTATCTTTAACTGGAGACTTACAGTGAGCAATAGAAAGTAGCAGCATAACAAACACATCACTAAATCCCATTGTGTAATAATACTAAGAACTTTATTTTAAATGCTATGTAACATCTTAAATCGATAGGAAGTCATAGGGGTTCTGCGCTTGCCTCATTTTAAAATTCCAGGCATGTACCTAATACAGCCTGCTGCAAAATAAAGCGTAGATTTACCAGACACAGACCTGAGCTGCAAAACACAAGAGACAAGAATAACCGTACTAATAAATTCAGTTTAACCAGCAGTCGGAGAAAGACTTAAACCAAAACCTCCTGGCCAAGTTTTTGGGGAGAGAAGATATCTTTTATTAGACCAACTAAATAGTTGCAAAAAAATGGTTGAGTGGGCAGTGCCAAGCAGGGGGGCGCAGGGTGCAATGATACCAGCAGAAGTGACCACATAACATGGCGTCACTTTAAAAAGTCCTATGTGCACACTTTTTGTTTCAGTGCATGGCAGTTTTTCACAAAATACGAGAATTTGACCTTCCAATTTCACATTTGAAACCCGTTCCCAGCCCCCTAGCCTGGGCAGCAAGCCAGGCTCCTCCCGCCCCAGGCACAGCGCCTGTCACCGCACCCTTGAGCCACCCCGCGCATGCAGAGCCGCCCGCCTCCCTCTCGGGTCACAGCCCTGGGCTGGGCCGTGCCCCGCCTATCACCTAGCGCCACCTTCCGCAAGGCGCATGCGCAGCCCCCTCCTTTCGCCCGGACACGTCGAGGTGAGGGACTGCTCCGGGTCCCCTGCGCGTGCGCACATGCGCGAGGCGGGCGGGCTGAGCTGAGCTGTCCCAGTGACAGGCTGGCAGGAAGTGGCGTGCGGGCAGGAAGTGGCGCCGCTGCTCGGCTTGCGCCCCTCTGCCCCCCGCGCCGGGCTCTGTGTTCCACGCGCCCCCTCCCCGCCAGGATGCTGAAGAAGTTCGATAAGAAGGATGAGGAGTCGGGTGAGGCGCGGCCGCAGGACGCCCCCTGGCGGCGGGGATGGGCGGGCAGGGGCACCTGTCCATGCAAGGGCAGCAGGGCCAGGGCTTTCTGCAATGGGGCAGGGGCAGGGGCAGGGCGGGGCAGAGCCAGGGGCCGCGGTGATGCTGGGCTGGCATCTGCGGGTACCAGGCCACACCAGCACTCCTCTGCCCCTGTCCTGGTGCCTTGCTGGAGGTGCTACTGGGATACACTGCTGCCCCATCCCCTGCCAGGTGCAGTGCCAAGGCTGGCAACAGCCTGCCCCAGGCGCCGATCCTGCCCAGGTGCTCGTGCCTTCTCCGCACCTGGGAGCTGACCCTGGCCATCCGTGTCCAGGGGTGTCCACCTCTTTAAGGACAGGCCGGCTGGCTCCACAGGGCCAGGCCAACCTGGACATGCTCAGCAACAGGGGGTGCTGCCATGGCATATCGTGGAGGACAGGGGTGAGGGTTGGGGTGATAATGAGGGATTGGAGGGGGGTGCGGAGCAGGAGACACGAGCTGGCGTCTGTTAATCCTCAAACGCGCCAGGGCTATGTGATGTGCATTGGGAATGTGGGCTAATGCCCGCCATGTGAAGCTAAAAGCCCCCCTTTAATATGGGGTGCTACTAAGTGCACATCACATTATTGCTGGGGACACCTAAAGAAGAAAATGGTAACAGGAGAAAAGATCAGATGTTTAAAAGGGGCTCACCATGGAGGGACACAGAGCAGAGCACACCGGTCAGCACCCACTGGTTCACCACCAAGTCCAAGGAGCCAGTGAAGCTCTGCCTGGAGACATGAACAAACCTAGGACAGGAAAGCAGCCCTTGAATGCATCTAGGGAGCCTGCAAATGCTTCCCAGTAAAACTGCCTGGAGATATGCATGGAGGAAGAAGATATGCCCACAAGTCCCCAGGCTGGCTTCACCCTTGGTGTCCTTCCAAGTCTGGTAGATGACAAGCTTGGCCAGAACCAGGAGGAGTTTTGCCCAGAAGACCTGCCAGGAAGGGATTTACTTGGACTTGATGACCCCAGTGATCCCTTCCAGCTCTTCTTCTTTAGGATTTCTGTTTTGATGCATGTCAGACCTGTTGATATAGGTTTGGGCCTTCTCTGAGCTCGTTTCTCCTTCAGCTCGGTACTTCCTAACGATCCTAATGATTTTGTTCTTTTGGGGGTGGGACTAGCTTTTTAAGCTGTCTCTCCAGGGACTCTACATAATGGCACCTAAGACGTGTCAGGGCCTCTTGTGGTCTGTGCAAATGTTGGAGAGGCTGTTAAGGAGGCTGATTGAAGATGTGATTGGTCCTTTGTGTTGTGGCTTTGACACTCTGTCCACCTCAGTGTACTTCACCCTGCTTCCTACAAGCTTTTATTTACTGTATCCACCCTGTCTGTACATCTTGGAGACCTTCCAAGTCCACGTGAATATTTTTGCTCTGGTTCTTGGTGTTTGTTTGCATCAGGCTTTTCCATGTTGAATGAAGTTTCCTCTCTCCAAGCTACATGCACAACAAAAAGCTAATCCACAGAGGATGCCTTTCAGCCTTGATCTCTTGCCAAGTTCAGGCTTAAGTGATGTAGCGTGTCCCATAGCTTACTGACCTCACAGATTAGTCTAGTACATCCAATCTTAAAAAGACAGAAGAGGATCATTTTGTGGGTAAAGCCTGGGAGTCAGGGGACCAGAGATCTTTTGCAGTTCTTCCACATCCTTCTTATGCAGCCTGGGCGAGTCATGTAAGGGCAATTTCAAAAGTGGCCGCAGCTTTTGAGTGTCCAATGCAAGGCATGTAGCAGTGCTGAGCATTCCCAACACCCCGTGGAGGTCAGCAGAAGCATGTCCACAAACCAGTACTCAAAGTAGACATCCACAATTAGAGGTCATTTTGGTAACTGTAGCCCCTAATTTCTGTGCCTTGGTTTTCCCCATCTCTGAAATGGGGATAATTATTTGGGTTGCAGGATGCTTTAGTAGTTAAGTCAACACAGATAAAGGGCCTTAAAATGCTTAGGTGCAAGGAGTTGGAGAAGGGTCAGGAGATTGATGATGGTTAGTAATATTAATGGCAGGTTTGAGAATTACAAATATTAGAAGCCAAAGTGATCCGTGGGTTGCAGGAGTGAGCAGAGTTAGGGGCACTGGTTGTTGTTAAGCCTTCTCTGCTAGATGAGCTTATTCAACCCACCTTTGGAGTACATAGGTCTACAAACACTGGCATTCATCGCTCCTCTCTTTTCGCCTCCCTTCTCTCTTCATCTGCACATCTAAGCTTTGTTCAGCCACATGTTGTGTTGGTGAATGGGTCCCAAGGTGGAGGGATGTCTCTTGCTTACATGAAAGGAATTAATGCCTTTAAGTAAAGATCTGAGTCTCACACAGATTGCTGCCCCCTTACATAGTTCTTCAGGACCAGATCATAACAGGGCATTACATGTCAGGGACAATACTGAATGCAGGCAGCACCAGTGTTGAGTGTGAGGGTGGCTTTGGGTCGTGTTGGGTCCACATGGCAAATTGAGTTTAGGCATTAATGAAAATTGCTTATCAATAACTGCCAGCTCAGGCAAGGCTGAAACTCACTGATACGTCCAAGAGAGGCAGATAATGGATGCTACACATAATTGTAGTTCTTGCCCTGTGAGTGTTCCAGCTCTAATTGTTGATGTTTTTCATCAAGTAGCATTTGGTCTGTTAAATAGGATGATTAAAGAGACTCTATTTCCAGGCTCTCCAGTCCACTGCCTTGTTCGCTTTCATTAACTTTAGATCTGAAAAATAGCTTATTGATAGATTCCACTGATTGCATGATGGAGCAGAGTAACACAGTTCTGATTTACCAGGGGGATGGGGAGGTTAGAGCTTTGTGGGTTTATGGCTGTGTTGGATTGATTTCTGAGCCTGATTGGTTTTGCTGCTGTCACTGGAAGTGCTGTCAGCCCTGGGGACTGGAAGAGGGCCTTTCATAGCCAGTTACCCCCATCTGGGAGCAACATTGTATGAGAGTTTCTTCAGAGCTAATCATTCTACCTCACCCGAGGCAACTACAGGAGAGAAAACTATAGAGCCCTCCTCTGCGAAGGGGTGAGGCATTTGATTAGTGACTTAGGAGAGCTAAGAAGAAAGAACAATTGCTTGGGGGGGTTGGGTTTTTTTTAAATTTTTTTGTTGTTGAAAAACTCTCCTGAAAGGAGGATACTGTTGGGGAGTTGGAGAAGGGTTAGGTGACTGATGATGATTAGTGGTAGTAATGGCAGGCTTGAGCATTCTAATCTCTCAAACCTAATCCTGAAAAGTGCAAACAAAGGGGGTTTCTGGTGTCTTTTCCCACAACATCATTCCTGAGGTCACAATTGCTCTCTGTGTTCCAGGTGGGGGTTCCAATCCATTTCAGCACCTGGAGAAGAGTGCAGTATTGCAAGAGGTAAATCCTTAAAATCCCATGGAGCTTGCTGTCTCTCTTGTACACAGTGACATGGCCTCTTCCTACTTAGAGAATCTTAGCAAATAACTACAATTTTGCCTCAGTGCTGCTGTTTTTTAAATCAGTGGCAAAACTTCCCTGAGTGTTTGTTTGTTTTTTTTTTTTTTTTTTGAAGGGAAGTGAGTAATTGTATCTGTCTGACAATGAAAAGATTCCATGTGCTATAAATCTGAATAGACAGATGCATTCTCATCCATTGGAAAGATCAGCTTTTCTTACCAAGGCAGGGACTGATCTCGGATATCCTAAAATTCTGCTTAGGATAAGGAAAATTGTAAGCAGCCTGCAGATGGTTAGGGGATAGTCTTTGACTAATACAGTGTGGATCTGGTCTGAGAAATGATTATTTAGGGAAAAAAATCTCCTTCCGTCATAGACCAGCTGCCTGTCTGTTCAGAGTCATCTGTTCATACATGATATTTTTGGTAATGTTGCCTCCTGTCAGCTTTGGGTAGAGCTAGCTCAGCTCTGGGAGAGGGAGCTGTATCCTAACCTGGCCTGTGCATCAGCACAAGAACTGCTGTTTCTCCTGGCATTGGGGTTGCATGGGTGTGACTGAGGTCTGAATTTGGCCTCTCAAACCTTGATTACAGCAAGGCTTTCTGAAAGCAGGCTGAGTTAATAGGGCTGCTTGTGAATAGAGAACAGCTGCTTAATTATGAACTGGGAAAAGCTGTTCTGAAGTAATTGAGAACAGTCTTAAAATACCCAGCTGGGAACATATTAGCTTTAGCAGCCTTGCTTTAAAGAAAGTGTTGTGTGTTAGGTAAACCATATCTCCTTTGGCTTTGACTCCTGCTTGTGTTTGCTCCTAGGCTCGGGTGTTTAATGAGACTCCCATAAACCCTCGGAAATGTGCTCACATCCTCACCAGAATTTTGTACCTTATAAACCAGGTAATAGAAACATGAACAAGGAATCCTTCAGATTTTAAACCTGTTTCTTCTAGAAATGAGACTTGTCTGCTACATTCTGATAATTTAAATGTCTTATGAAATGATGCTTAATAACAGGAAAAGACATGACTATTCTGTAAGCCAGCCCTTGTCTTCCTTCCCTCTCAAAAGTTCTAGAGTGATGGAAGTGGACAGTTAAAAAGAAATTAAACCCACATGTTGATGACAACAGGAAATTATTTCCTTAGCACTGCCTGATGGGCAATGTGGGCCTAATCCTAGTTTTGATTGGTGTTATGAGTCAGAATTTGTATAGGTTTTATGTGCCGAGTTGGATTTTTCAGAAGTACCTCAGCCTCTCAGGCCTCTCTGCATTTTTAACTATTTAGATAACTGGCCCCTTAGCCATCACATCTGAGGGGACTGACTACATGGGCTGTACAGACCAAACTCTTCTTTTACTCTTAAGGCATCATCTCCAAGTCCATTAGTAGTAGTCTTGCTTTCTGTAGCAGCAGTGAAAAAGGCATTGTGCTGTCTACACCAGCAGTTGAGCTGTTCTCATGCTGGGTCAGGAGTCTTGCAGGTCAATGTCCTAACACCAATAGAGTATTGGAGGTGGATTCTCTGTGTCTGTCCTGAAGCACATGGGTGAGAAAGAGACCTCCCTTTGTCACAGCCCAAGCTGGGCTTGTCATATTGTGAGCCCAGCCTCTACCCAGCACTAAAGCTATTGTATTTAAGGGATAATTCCTACTTCTCCTTTGCCCATACTAGGGGGAGCACCTGGGTGTGATGGAAGCTACCGAAGCCTTCTTTGCTATGACCAAGCTGTTCCAGTCCAATGATGTAAGTCCTTTATGTATGCATTTTTTGTGTAGATCTGCTCATATTGACCCCAGGCTAATATGTCAACAGGAAGGGTGATTCTGCCCCCTTGGTGTAAAGTGCCCCGTTCCAAAGGAAAAGGAACTCGTGCCATCATACATGGTACCTAGAGTTACTCTGTGCAGGTGACCTTGTGGATGTCCCTTTCGGTCACAGATCATCCAGATCAAACAGTTGCCATCCACCTAATCAAGCTGTTTACCAAGACAGACTCTTTGGATGGGCCATTGGCTTGGGCTCTTCTGTCTTATTCCTTTTATATTTAATTTTCACATCACTGTGGTAACTAGATTGGTTTGGGCACCACTGGGGGAGGTCGTGAATGAGCATAATAAATGATAGCTTGCCTTACTCGATGCCCCATGATAACTTGAATTTTTTGCCTTATGATCCAACCCCAGCAGGCACGGCTGGTGAACTCAGACTGCTGGGGTGGTGGAGTGTCCCGCGGCGTGGTGGGTGGGGAGAGGATTCACAGGCTCCCCTCTACTGGTCGGAGTGCGCGGCTGGCTGCAGCCGCCCCCTTCGCACGCCTGCCCCCCCCCGAGTTCACCAGCCGTGCCTGACCCCCGGTAGGATCTAAAGAAAGCAAAAAAATTGGTGTTGTGCTGGTAGCCAACTTGAGAAATAGGGTATCAGTTCTGAGTAGTCCAGCAGCAGTCTTTTGACTTGGTTCCCTCCCCACAGTCAGCTGCCCACCTCAGACATGCCAAAAAAGCTACCACAAAATCACAAGACTAAATATCGTTAGAAATGATGGGGGTTTTATTTGAATTCTAGTTTCTGAGTCCTTCAGTTGCCCTTTAGTCGTGTTCTCATGCCTTTCCTTGTAAACATGATGGTTACACATAAGGTGAAATTAGGGATCTGCTGGATATGTTGGCATGATGGCTTTATCTGTCCTTTTTTATAAATGAGAACTGAGATTCTCTCGTTGTCAACACCTGTCTGCAGGAATTGGAGCTTTAAAAAAGTGCCAAGTATCTGGAGATGTAAAGTAGTTAGGAACACTGGCAGAACAGCAGCCATCTGTGGTGATTGTCCTCCCAGCTAACAGTTGTCTTTTCCATTTTCCTTGGTAGCCAACACTTCGCAGGATGTGTTACCTGACCATCAAAGAGATGTCATCCATCGCTGAGGATGTCATCATTGTGACTAGCAGGTGAATCCTCTGTGTGGCATCTCCTTCCTATCACAGTTGCTCCCATATGGCTTCCAACAATGCTCCTACAGCCACTTGGAGATAGCAGTGATGCCTACAGGGAGGTGGGGAAATTCATGGGTGAGAAGAAAGCCTCCTCTTTGAGAGAAGAGGCCACTGAATTACAGACACTGACATCCTAGTGATATTGGTGACCTGTATGGTGCAGTAAATTCTATGCTGCTTTACCTTAGCTCTTCCTTTGTAATAGTTGGATAGCTCTGTGTGTGCACTCAGGTCTCTTGCCCTTGCATAAGAGCTACTTCTGCATTTATAACCAAACACTTCCTACTGGAATAAGGCAGAGTTGAAGTTAGCACTCTTATCCTTCTGAACCAAATGGAGATAACGTCTTGGTTTGGTTGGCTTTTGACTGAAATTCAGCCCTGCTGTTGGTACTTACTAACTGGATGTTGCCTTATCTAGAGCTATTGGGTGAAATGTGCTGTGCTAAAAGTTTCTTCCATGTTCATCCAGCCTAACCAAAGACATGACTGGGAAGGACGACAATTACCGAGGCCCTGCTGTGAGAGCACTCTGCCAAATCACAGATGTAAGTGCCTCCTGTCTTGCAAGTATTCCCTGTTGCTGGGCTCTTATCTCCTTGGTCCCGAGTGAGTTGTTTCTCCTAGTCCTTCCCCTCCTTTTCTTCCCTCTCTTCTCTGCTTTCCTATTGTAGAGTCAGGTCTGGTTTCCTCTCTGTTTCTGCAGAGCACCATGCTGCAGGCCATCGAACGCTACATGAAGCAGGCGATTGTGGACAAAGTGCCCAGTGTATCCAGCTCGGCCCTGGTGTCTTCACTGGTATGTATACACCTACAGGGTGATTTTTTTGGAGGGCCAATTTGGTTGGGAAGCAAATCTGTACACTGAGAACTGAACTGTAGTGTCTCTTTTGTGCGATCCTTTTGGCTTTTCAGCAGAGAAAACTGTTTTTAGATGAAGTGTAACTGAGGAGAACCCACACTCAGATTGTGAAGAAGGATGTGTGACCTTTGTGAGTCCCTTGCTCCAGTTGTGAAACTGGTGCAATTCTTAGCTAGCTTTGTAAAATGCTTTGACAACTTGGGATAAGGTGGTATATAAATAGATGCATTGTGTTATTGATGCCCTCGCCTTTTACCTCTGCAGACTCGAGTTCAAAAACTCCCTTAGGTCATAAATAGAAATGCGTTGTTTAGTCTCTGTTTGTTCAGTATACGAAATTGTTATGTCATTTAGCATGACTGTCAGTGCCTGTTAGAGACAGAGACTGGTGTGACATGGAGAGCAGCACGGGATGGGGAGGGAGGTATTGCCTGGACTGGGTTAGCAGGAGTGTTGCTGTGAAGCCTGACGTTTTGTTGGTAAAGGTGCGAGCCTGCAGAAGGGCTGTGCATGCTGTGTCTGGGTTAAATCAGTGCAATCCATTGCTCTGAGCATTACGGTCACCCACGTGGATCATAAAATTAGCACAAGTACACTCCTGCCATCTGCCATTAAGTCAACTGATCTGCATTTTATTTTTAAAGTGGTAGAGAGGAGAAGATATGCGGTGTTTCTAGAAAGTTTTCTCAAAAGGCATATCGGCCTCTCAACAACAGTCCCTCCCCCCTCTACCCCACCCCCAAGTGAAGGCACTGAGATACTGAACAACTTAGATGCATTTGCTTTCAACCCACCTGCCTCTGTAATGCAACATCCTCGAAGGACAGCTTCTCCACCTTACAGTGTAGCTTGGAGCTAAAAGAAGGCTTGTGTCAGGAACTGAGATGAAGTAGCACTTGTATGGGAGCGGCTCAGGTGAGGGACTCCTTCCAATTTGTGATAAGCTGGACAACCAGCATGAAACTTGTAGGGTGCTTTTTCTAGGCCCAACGACAGTGCATGGAGCAGGGCCTGCTCCAGGGTGGAATATGTATGCTTCCTGCTGTCTTTCATGAGGGCTCTGAGATCGGGCCAGGGGAGAGTAGAGAGCCTTACTGATTCTGACCATGTTTCTGTACAAGAAGATTTGACAATACTGGAATTAGATCATAAGTTTCTTAGGGCAGGGAGGATACCTTCTTGTGTGTCTGTGCGGCATGCAGCACACCATTGCTGCAGTCCTGCCTGGGGCCTGAGGACACTACTGGAATATAAACCAGCATTAGCAAGGCACTTCCTTTGCCTTCAACATATGAATGTTGATGAATAATCCTCACAGTCCCACTGCAAGGAGTCTAGCGTTGGAGTCAATGGCATTCAGGCTGGGCAGAGTTTCATAGTTTCTAGGGTCGGAAGGGACCTGAGCAGATCGTCGAGTCCGACCCCCCTGCCATGGCAGGAAAGAGTACTAGGGTCAAATGACCCCAGCAAGGTGTACACCTAGCCTCCTCTTAAATACCCCCAGGGTAGGAGCCAGCACCACTTCTCTTGGTTCCAGATCCTAGCTGCCCTGACTGTGAAGTAGCACCTCCTGATAACTAGCCTAAATCTACCCTCTGCCAGCTTGTGACTGTTATTCCTGGTCACTC